TCTGATAAGCATGAAGTGAAATACGAAAAATCGTGTCACATATTTTTGCATATTTCGAAGTTTAGATGTTGTTTATTAACTATTTTATTTCAAAGTAAGAAAATTTCAATAATATTTAAAATTACAAAACTTGTTAAAGAAAAAAAAATAACAAAATATAAAAATGTAATTAATTTATGTTTAAATAATGCGCTTATTGTGGTATTTTTTGGAGGTACGAGTGACGATCCCTGGTTGTATATCACGCGGTCGGGCGGATATCCCGGGGACACCCTGAATAGCCAATAGCCAATACAATATTATGGGCGTAACACGATTCCACCAAAAGTAGACCTTTCCCTTTTCCACCAATATCCGTTTCCACCAAATAAAATAAAATACCTATATTTTTCATGAGTTTTTCGAATTGATGTACAATATATATAAATATACACACAATATTATCAATGTATATTGTACATTTATTGTATTTAATTGTATGTTAAACCGTTATCATACTTATGCATGTACTTTTATGTCCATTAACTATGATAATATCTAAATAATCAAATACTTTATGAACAAGTGAAAAGATGGCACAGTTTAAATAGTGCATTACAACTGCGTGTGTGTTAAAATAAAACGTAAATCGAAATTAAGCGTGAAAATAAAACACTAGTACTAAACAACTTTAAATTTTTTATTGGATCGGTTAACAAATATCAACTAATTATATATATAGTTACAATGTACATAACTAAGGTATCGTATATCATAATATATTATTTTTTCATCTTTTTATATCTGACCATTTTTTTTTAAATAAAATTTAACATTTTCCAACCTATATTGTATATATTATATAATGCCTTTACATTTATTGAATTAATAGTATATATGTTAAATAAAGTTATTTCTGTGTTATAGCTTTTAATTTAAGAGTAGTATACAATTGTTTTGGTAAAAACATGGTCAATATCTTATTTTGTGGAAACGGATATTGGTGGAAAAGGGAAAGGTCTACTTTTGGTGGAAACGGGCATCGCCCGTATATATATATATATACCGTCGTCGGGTACCGCGTGCGCGTGTGTTATTTACTTTGAGAATCTGGAAGGAGCATTTCCCCTTTTCCGGTTCGACGGAAATGGACGCAGTGCTACGGGGCCACAGGTAGTCGACGCCGTACCGGGCCGTGACCAGCCGGTTCCAGTCGGCCACCTGCGTGACCATGGACACGTGCACGCGGTTCTCGCTGAACCGGGTGGACGCCTCGAAGTTCCAGTTGCCGCCGCAAAACTGCAGGTCGGTCATCGCGTACACCATGCAATCGGGCCAGCGGACATCCCACGCGACCGATACGGAACGGCGGTCTGAGTACGCGTCGCCCAGTTGCACCTTGAACATGGAAGCGGCCGACCAGCGACGATGGTCGGTGTCTGACGACGGCAGCGACCACGGGCTCGGCATGGGCCGCCTGGCACCGAAGCCACCGAACAGATGGACCCGGGCGCCCACGAAAATCACCGGCACCATGTCGTCGAAGCTCGCGAACACGTCGTTCGCCTTGCCCGGTTGCCGCGACCGTCCGTTGTTGCCCGCGTCACCCATGTCCGGGTGTACCCCAAAACGAACGACCGCGAACGACGGCTGACACGCACCGGACTACGTGAACGTGGACGGGCGGTATCAAATCGACGGATGAACGATGCCGAGATGACGTTACTGTTAGTGACAAACGGTTTGTCACCCACGTGATGTCGCGTCGTCAATGGCGACCATCGACCGTTACGAACGCGTCATCGAATGCTGCGGAATAAGTCGAAAAACTGAACGGCCCTATGTCGTCGCGAAACGTGCGATTTATAACACGGCGACGCCTAGCACCGGTTTACTGTGGATCGCCGCGACCGGCGGTGTAACCGTCGCGCTATGTATGTCCACGTTCGATCCGATCCGCCGTTCCCGTTTCACGTTCCACGTACACTAACGTTTGACGAACAAGTCGCTCGGAAGGCTGATGACGAACCTTTCGCGGATCTCGACGAATTTCCAAACTTTTCGTTTTCGAACACGCGTTATTCATTATGTGCCATCGCTTCAACACTCCCTAAAGAGATTACTTCAAGAACCGTCGTGGGGACCGTCTAGAATGAACTGGTCGCAGTCGAGGACATACCTCGTCGTCGTACACGTGCGACACGGAACCGCGCACAGATGAACACGGAGAAGCGACACGTACGAGAAAACACGAAAATCGATTATTACGATAATCGATTCTATTACGATACTGACGTGCACTGCTGTACATTGAGAACCTGTGGTTTAGTTCTACGCGCTCTACATAGAACTACTAACCAAAGGACCGTGTTAGCGCTCGGCATTATTTACGAACCTTGGTTTGGCTCCTCCCTCCCGTGGTACCAATTAGGTTTTAAGTTGATATTGGTAGACCAACCCGACACACATTTTGAGTGTGTCTCCCACTATTTTGATCCATGAATGGATTGGCTAGTGGTGGGCCATTAGCCCCTTAAGTCGTCTTTTACGACAAGCCGGGTCACTGTCGCCATATTCTTATCCCTGGCGACAGAGTGTTTTGTCTTTATTATTATTGTTTCTGCTATTCTCTTATATTTTTGTTTCTCGATTGGATCTTGTCCTGATTGACTGTATTTTTCATGTTATGGAGTGTCTCCACAATCAATTCTTTTGCACCTTCTTATTATTGCTTTGGTTCGAGCCGTACAGTTTTCGTGGTTCACTGATTCGTTAGTTAGTTCGCACATTTTGGATTGTTCTTACATTGTATGAAATCGTGGTCTTTCTCGGTTGAAGCACATGTCATACATGTTTGAACTTTTGTTATACCATATTTTTATATGTGTTCATATTTTTGACAAACAAAACATCAGGTGACTTGGTCACAGGGTGTTATTTTACATTGTGTCAATTTTATAAAGAATGTTTTATTGATTATCTTTTTATTATCTATGGGTTAACTTCAGTGATCCATGAAGCTTTTTTATTGTCTTATTAGTTTCTTGATATCCTTTTTGTAATGATATTATAATTTTGTGTTTCTGTTACGCTTAGTTCTTCGTTTAGTCTTAATAGACGTTTCAAGATTTCTTCTTTTGTTAGATGAGAATCAACAACGTTGATTAACACTTTTGGTTTGAAGGTTAATTCTTTCTCTATTTTTAGTTTTGTTATATTCTTCATTGCTTTTTTTGTATTTTCATTCCCTGGTTTAATAAATATACTTCCATTTTTCAAGACATTCATGTCTTGTATTTTAGGGGATGGATTATGGGTTCTTATATGTTTGTATAGGTTCTTCTTCAGGTGTTCTGGTCGACTATTTTCAGAATAGTTTTTGACTATGAAACCTGTATTATTTCTTTTTTCATATTTAGCTTTACCTATCTAAAATTTTATATTCTTTTGTTGCTCTATATTTTTTCCCGTACTAATTCTCGTACTTACATTTGTTTTTTACTTTTCTATCTTTAAGTTTTTCTATTAGTTTTTTGATCTTGTTTTCTTCTACTTTTTCTGTAGAGAAAGAAAATTCGGATTATCTATAAGTAGATCTTGTCTGTGCAGTTTGATCAGTTTTATTTTCTTTTTTATGGCTTCGGTTGAAGCGATATTAATACGAATAACTCTCTTTAGATAATCAAGACATGATTTGATTAATTTTTCATGATTTATCGTTATGTTTCTCAATGTTCCAATATTATGTTTTATTTCATTATCTAAATAAAGTAATTTCTCTTTGTTTTGTTGTAATATGTACTGCTGTACAATAAACGTCAGCTTTAAACGTGCTGATTGATAACCGTACTAATGGTCTTGACGTAGTCGCAGTAACACTAGGATTCTAACGGGTGCCCCCCACATATTGATTCAAAAGTAAAATTGATTCTTAAACTGTTTAATACACGTAAACGACACTTGGATCAATATTTAAAAACATGTTTTGTTTTTAGAAAGGTCTCGGCTAGATGATTGAACATCAGTCAGTCGGGTTCATCGATTAAATGCTAACAGTTAAGTAACGAAAATGTTTGTTTACACAGGCAAATGTAAACACAACCGGCGAAGATATTTGTATTGCTGTAAACTCGGCGCGGCGATAGTGATGTGTACAGTAAACATGTGTGGGCTGTAGTGCATTAGTAAAGTTGTTATACACATTGATGACGAACAATGTGTTTGCGATTCATAGCAAGAACTTTTAAAGTCAAGTTTTAATCCTAATCAATATTCTGACATTAATCTTATTTTAAAATAAACGTGCCGTTTCAAGTATAAATTTTAAACGTTAGGAATCACGATTCAATTATATAAAAAATAGCGAAATATTACCTTACGAGTAGGTAGAATATAATATGATTTGGGTGCTACATAAAATCATATAAACTTATTCTATAAAACTACAAAAATAATACCTACCGTATAACGAATTTGGCAAAAAAAAAATAATATTTTTTATATAGCTAGTCAGTAAAAAAAAGAAAAAAATTCAAGAAATCCAATATAATTTTTAGACAGTAATAAAAATGACCTCTACAGCGTCATCTGGACTTTGCAAAATATTCTTAAAAATAAAAATTACTAGATGCGGGTTCATGAACGAAATGTGTTCAGAACACATAAAATGTTTACTACTCAAAAAATCCAGAGCCGAGGTTACGATCGTGTAAGCCGGTTTTTCAAACTAAATAGAAACGAATATGTACAAATCAAACATATTTTTAAATCTTTATGTAACAATATAAAGATGTATTTATATATTTTATATAATACCACATCATTGGACACATCTGTATATTGGAGTGTAACAATATATTTTTAGCCCAACACGATGTGTTTTGATTTCGGTTACCAGTACGTCACGGGGTTAACCGTACCACCACTATATGGTGGCGGCAATGGTAAACGTCATACATGTAGTTGTGCTACACTCGAAGGAAATCGAGCGAAAAACATATTATTGAAAACGATTGTAGAAATTTTGTTTTTTCTAGTTTTATTTTGTCAAATGAAATGATGCTGTTATACACACGTACGCGTTTACAGCACGACATAACACTTAAAATTAGGTAAGTATACACGATAAAAAAAAAATGAGATTGCGATGATCAATCGTACGCAAACTGACGTAAACATACTACGGAGTATAAAGATTATAAGAACAATAGTGTCGTCGGACGGTTGTTTGACGTGGAAACTCGTGGATAGTATGAACTGGCTTGGGTACGCGAACGGTTGCGGAGAAATGGATCTAGATGGTGGACGCATTATTTCTTGAAGTCGTGTCCGTAAGACGAACCGGACAGAGACGCTCCGTAATGGCTGAGTCCACTGCTGTAAGCAGAGATACCAGAGGAGCCGTAGGATCCGTAAGACGATGCGTAAGCTGGGGCGGCGTAAGATGATCCGATAGATCCGATGGATCCGTAAGATGATCCGTAAGCTGGAGCAGCGGCGTAAGACGATCCGATGGATCCAATGGATCCGTAAGATGATGCGTAAGCCGGGGCAGCGTAAGATGATCCAATGGATCCGATGGATCCGTAAGCTGGAGCGGCGGCGTAAGACGATCCGAAAGATCCGTAAGATGGAGCGGCGGCGTAAGCGTAAGACGGTGCTGCAGACACTGCAACGGCTGGTGCTGGGGCGATGACGGGCGTTGGCACGGAGACTGGCACGTGTTGACGGACTTCGACGGGGTACGGTGACGGCACGTCGTATGGCACAGGCCTGTTGACCGTGTACGGCACTGGGTGCGGTACGCTGACGGGCACGCTACGTGGCACATCAACCGGGTACGGCTTGTCGACGGTGACGGGGACCGGGTGTGGTACGCTTACCGGCACGGCTCTAGGCACGGACACGGGCACAGGGTGGGGCACGGACACGGGCACGTGGCGGGTGACGGGCACGGCGTATGGTTGTGGCACGGACACGGACACCACTTGGTCGGACTGGCTCACTCTGGTGGGCACCTGGGCAGCGGAAGCGTAACCAGCGCCGTAACCAGAGCCGTAGCCGTAGCCGGAGCCGTAGCCCAGACCGGAGGAGTAGCCCAAACCGGATGAGTATCCCGATCCGGAGGATAATCCCAAGCCGGAAGAGTAGCCCAAGCCGGAGGAGTATCCCAAGCCAGATGAGTATCCCAAGCCGGAAGAGTAGCCCAAGCCGGAGGAGTATCCCAAACCTTCGGAACCGTAGCTGCGTTTGGTTGTCTGCTTAGTGTCAGCGGCGCATAGACCGATCAGGGCCAGACCAACGATGCAAGCCTGAGAACAAAACATAAGAATTCGTCAGTAAAAACATGTCGAATGTAAAATGTACACGGCTAATGAGATATTCGGCTGTCGATCGAGCGCTGGTCGATAAACTATGAATACTATTACGGTATCAGAACAACACTTATTGTTCGATCATATCGTGCAAACGGTTATCACGAAAAACAGACCAGTTCCTTTTTCCCTCCCGTGTGATATCGTTTATCTTACAAACGCGTATAGTATCAAACATTGTAAGACAGTATGGTTAGCAGTAAACAATAATGGGAAAAAAAAGAAAATAAAACACAGTGATCGAAAAGGTTCGCAGATATAACCCATCGAAATCGATAATAAACACGATACAAAGAAAGTGTTATGATCTATGGCAACGTGAATCTTGATGTGTATAGTTTGAACTGTGCACACCCGTTAGATGTGTAAATGACGAAAATGTAAGACAATATTTGCTCGACGCTTGGACAAAAATATCCAAGAAACTACGATATGGTTTTCGAGACGAAATAAATGCGATTTCAAACAATTTTAAAAATCCTTGAGCAATCGGTGCGCGATAACGCTCTATAACGTGCTCTCGTATAATAAATAAGGATCTTGATCAAGACAATCGAAAAACAAGAATCTTACCTTAAAGTGTGCCATGGTGGATGCTATTGGACGGTGGTTACGATGATAATATAATTATAAGAAATATATATATATATATATTGTTTGTCGTTGGTGTGTTGCAGACGACGAGTCTTCGAAGCGAACTGATGCCTTTCGGTCTGCGAGTTCGGGCTTATATAGTCGCATCGTCGATCGAGTCGTTTGATTCTGAAGACGAAAATAAAAAGGGAAAAATATTGTTCGCGTGTGTTTTTCGTGTTTCCACCCCCTCTCGCGATATAGTCCGCGCGCGACACTTTCTCCGCAGGTGCGCGTGTCGCGTTGCTCATGCGATGCATTGCGTCACTAGACGGTCGCGATAACGACGGCATTTCGGGACCAGTTTTTTAATTTAATTTTTTTCGCCAAGAAGACGCGCGTCGGAAAGATGCTCTCGTCTTGTAGCAATTATGCAATAACGAGCGTTATTATTGTATGATAAATGGCGATCGATCGGTTCACGCAATCTTATTGCGGTGTTTGTTGTTTTTCTCCTTTTTTTTTTTGTCATCCGTTCAAAAGTGGTTTGGACGCGGCTGACTTTAAATATCGTATTTTATTATATTGTTATCCCGTCGAGAAACTGCGGCACGCCTGCGCGCGCAGATATTTCACATTGTTAATTTTACCGCACTCGCTTAAAATACAATATCGGTACATTTAGTATAATATTTAATCATTTGTCTTAAAACCCGAGCACACCGCCTCCATATTCACATCCACATAATGGTAAGTGTATACATACGCGTATAGATGTACAAGCTACATGCTACATCGATTCTTCAATTTTTTTTTGCGGAGCTCTTGAAATGATAAAAAAAAAGAAGCCATCACGTAAAAACCAGTATCTAAATGCCCCAATTTTAAATTCGAAATTCATAAAAAATTATGTGTCGATGGTCTGCTTTCTAATTAGCATATTTTTATAGTGCGCATGTTTATGTAATATATATATTTGTATATATAAGTTTATAAATATTATCAACATTATACTTGGTCTCTGTACATCGAGTTATTTTCAGTCGTCCAAAAGAGTTTGATATGCAATCTTTATAAATTTAACTAATTAGGTATCTAATATAATATCGTCTGAATTCGATTTAATTCCAACGAGTTCGCGTAGCACAGTTTAAGAACCGCTGATACGTACAATATTGTATATTATGTATTTCTGATACTAACCGCGAACGCATTGCAAATCACCGTTTGACCCGCAGGTCATATTATTATCGCCGTCTGCTGGAATCATATACTTTATTGGCGAACGTCTACCGTTGGAGAACTGGGTGATAAAATAAATATGAAACGATCGACGGTCATAAAAATAAAATAAAAATATGAATTAAATAAAGCTCTCGAGTTATATCATAATATTAACGGATCACGTCATGGCGTTTTGCTTGCCATAGGTAATTTAACTATATTTTTTTCATATCGCATTATTTTGAAAAAAATCTGTTTGTCCCAAATCTTAATTAGGCACTCGATCGGCACGTTTTGATGCCAAGACCAGTTATCTGCTGTATCTCGTATGTTTGTTGAAAGACGTTTGAAATACGCATTTTTTTAAGATTACAATAATTTTAAATGAAACACCGATATATCCACATTTTTTCAATTAAGTACTCAAAAATATTTACTTTAAGACTGATTAATTTTTTTATATATTAAAAATGTTTTTAATAACATTAAAAATAGAGGGAGGGTGCAATAGGAGAAATTTAAACTAATTATCTACGTTATCAGTTTAAAAGTTGAAACCCGTTAAATATATTTTTTGTATAATCTTAACAACATAAGCGATGACAGCAAAATTTTAATCAAATAATTAAACTCAATAGTTGAACAAACAAAGCATCATTCAAGAATATTTATATTAAATATATTACATATAATATGTAATTTGCCATATGAGAAAAAGTATATTTAATGATAAAATGAACGTTGAAAAATGTATAGGTAAATAATGTTTTATTTAATAACTAAGTCAGTGTTTATTATAAGTTCTTGTACGTACATATATTATTTTTTTCTTTCTTATTATTATTTTATCTTCTCTAATATTTATACTTACAGTGTTTGTTTTTCATTTTTTTTTTATGTATTCAATTTAAATCAATAGCGTGTACTGTAACTCCCTACACCACCACAAGCTCAGCTTAAGTGTGTAGGTAATTTTTATTATTTAATTAATATTACTTTTGTTTTATATTTTTCAAATATTAATAAATTTCTCTAAATTCAAATTTAAATTCAATATAAATTGAAAGTATTGATTTTGAAATATTACATTTATAATATTTAATATTATATTTTTGTGAGTTCATTATGTATAAAATAATAAAGTATACCTATATTGATGTATTTAAATAGCCTAATTATGTTTTCAAATATTTCTTTCTATTAGGCATACATATTTTGTTGTCGTTAAATTGTAGTACGTGCATAAATAATGTATAATTTAAGAATATAATTATAAATAGAGCTTGGAAAATAAATAAGAGCAAGCATTATTTTTGTATTTCATAATATTAGTTACAATTTAATTGGAATAAAAAAACATTTTTTTTTTTTTTTCACTTAAATCAGCCACAATTAGTCAATCAATTCTTATTGATATCAGAAATCGAATTTTGAAAAGTTACTATAATTATATCTGATCATATCACCATTTTAATACACTTAACACTTAAGGTGTAATAAATATATGTATATATATATAATCGGTAATTAAATAAAAATCAAATAATAAACAATTAAAAAAAAAAAAATTAATTTAAATAAAAAAAAAATCATAAATTAATCTAAAAACTTTTTATTTTTCAAACATGACTGAAAATACTAAAATCGGTTTTAAATTATAAACGAAAACGAAAAAAAAATAATATTTTAATATCATAAAAATAAACCAAAAAATATTCTTAATCTCAATATTTTTTTAAATGTTTTTTAATATTACACGAATTGTATATTTTAATTTTATAATTATAAATTATTCAATATTTATGTATTTAGTGATGGTAACATAAATATTTTATTATTTATGGTTTTGTTATATTGTTGAAATATTGTAGGTCACTTATCACACACATAAATTGAAAAAAATGTATTTGAAATGTTCTTTAATGAATAATTGAAATAATTTAAGAATATATAAATTTAAGAATATATAATGTTAATTTAATATTCGATTATACAGGGTCGTTTATAAAAGACCTTACAATTTACATATAGCTTAAATTTTTAAAATTATCGTCTTTATTTTTCAAATAGCTATGTATATTTTATCTATATTTTGGTTATATATTTTTTTAATTTTGTAAATGTTCCAATAATTATCCGCATTACTTTTAAAAATGATTTTACTCGGGTTTGATTTTTTTTTATTTTATTTATACGATTTCAATAATCGTTCTAATGGTCATGTTATGAATTTGATCATTTATTTTTTAATTCTTATTTTTACTTAAACCATGAAATAGCTATCAAAGTGCATTTGTATTGTACAATATAAAATTATAACATTATACAATTCACATGCATAGCGGTAATAAAAATGTTCTATACATGCTTGAACTTACCAAAAATAGCATTTCTCAACAAATATGTATGTATTATTGTATTAGTCCGGTAGTAGAATGGTTTTTTTTATCCAACGACAAGGACTTTTTACAGATCTTATTATTTTTTACATCGATAATGTGTACAGAATGTTTAACAACCTCAAAAGTTTTATGTAATTCAAACTAATACATCTGTCTTCAAATGGTTAGAACATTTTTATTATTTCACGAGAAATTATGGAAAACAGCCAAATATTTACGAGTTCATTATTTGCCATATCGTTGCCATATTACTCTAAAATACCAATATACATTTGAGACCATTGATATTAAATGAAAAAAAAAACTATGTAAAAATATTTTTCAAATTCTGCAATTAAATTAAAATATAGTTATAATCATCTCATTTATAATTTTTTTTCAAAATACTAATAAATACTCGTATATAATTATGTTCAAAATCGGATGATATACAATTATAGTTTACAAATTAAAATACTGTATATAATCACAAAAATCCAGCTGGGATAATCTCTTTATCCAATACGTTAAGTATGTTCTCTGTATTTTGTACTTAATTCTTACCAGGCGCGGATGCAAGGTGGTCTATGGTGGCCGAAGCCCCCCTTTTAGATATTAGGTACAACTATATCGGACGTAAGTATTTTACAATTTATAAAAAAATTATACGTAAGAAAGACTTCGAACAAATCAACATACGCAACGAATTATGGCAGTAACTCACTTTATTAGCTCCCCCTTTTTTTCATTTCTGCCTGATTATTACTCCACCAGATAAGTTACTGTGGTTAATGATTAGACATTAGATTTTTATTATTTATTAAAGATAAAAATAATTTCAATTGGAAGCCACATTAACTATTTGACGATTTAGTCGTATTAACTTCGTCAGATTTTATAATATCTAATATTTTGATTAAATTTACTCCGTGTGGTGCCTACATTGTAAACTTGGCTTAGTTTTATAAATATCTATAGTTATATTGTTATAATCATTTTAATCTTTTCCAACTTAGAAAATTCTAGAAATACAGTTTAGGAGGAATAATGCCAACACATTAACTTTTTATTGCGGTTAATTACTTTTTGTAATATTCATTATTTTATAAACATAATGAATACATATATGTCATACAATATTGGTTAAATTGTTCATATAGTTTTAAATCTAAAAAGCCAAAAAAGTATGAAAAATAAAATTGTTTTTAGTGATCAATGGTAAATATTCAACTGAAAATATAACTTATGAAAATAATTTAAAACTGTTATAACAAATTTCGAAAGACTTTGTCCCAAACACTTACATTGTAAACAATAATGTACCAATTTTGTTTTATAATAAAACTATGTATCTATAACAAAGATTTTACATCAAATTAAGAAAATGTTTAGAATATAAAATTATCAATAAACATTAGACTCCAAACGAGATAGTTATGGCAATTTATTTTATATTTTAATGGTTAAGAATTTATGTCTTTGGTTATTGGACACTAAAAGTTCTAAAAACCTCATATAAAATATCATTGCATAGATTCC